GAAGCGAAAAGAAAACGTGACATTTTTCGACGTGTTCGCTAAAACGCGATTGATCCTTTCAGTCTCGTCGAATGGCTATATTTAGAGCATCACAATCAACAGTCGTTAAGAAACGGCTAAGAATCCTTTCCTGTTAGTGACCCTCGGAGTGTGACCATGCTCCTTGAGACTCGTATGATTCAAATTTCACGCCGGACATGACGCTGAATATCTCCGTTAGGATTATACATCGGTAAGAGAGCAATGTCGTTGAACTTCAATGCTCGATCGTAAAAAGGTGTATCTCCTCGTTTCTCGAGGGCTGTTTCAAAACATCGCTGGCCCGCGGCCCGCGATGAATGCGAGCGTACGTGCGTGCAGGTCTTTGAACTTGCTTCTCAGGAGCAATAAGACTCGATTTCGAACACGCATTGAACTCTTTTGCTTCGTCAAGCCTGTGCTTCGGAAGAGCCTGTGTATCGTTTTCTCACGTACCGAGAACGCAACGGCAAAAGGCTGACGAGAACTGACAGCGAATGAGGATTGGAAACCGCAAAATCTTTCACGCAAGATTGAATATCGAATGACGACGTAAGTAAAAGCAGCCGGCTGGAGAAAAAAGGACGGTCTGTAACAGCATCGAGTGTTTTCAACGTATTACTATATACTATCATATTCTTGGAAACAGCGTTCTGATGTCTCCAAAGTTTCAGCGAATCTTGCTTTCATAAAAGAACTCATGAAATTAGCCAAGAAATCATTTCTTGGTCTCATTATTCATCATCAATTTCATTACTCTCAATGTACATTCAATTCCAGAATGGCATTATGTACCGATGAGATTGATCAGTGTACGAAGAAAGATTTTCTACCAACCGGCAATGGTAATAGACATGAACAGAATTGTTCATCTTACCACGGAAATCGTGTTTCCATTTCATGTAAAAGCGGATGATACATCCTTCGAAGAATTACGATGAAAACAGGAAAACCATTTTAAAAACGCTAATAGGACGCTAGTAGAATTATTAAAACAGTGACCAACCGGATACAATTAGAGATCAGTTATGAACGAGAGACTATTAGTTTTGTACTAGTTCTCAATATAACGGAGATCTTGAAGTAAATTCAGAAATACAAGCCTGAGTGAAGTCCAATATACGAAGAATACGAATAATTCTAACAGGGCAAGAATAAATGAGTTTCTGTAGTTACAAATATTCCGTAGTTCAAAAAAGATTTTCACAAAGTAACCGATACAAAAGTTTTTCATTTCCAATTTGCACCAAGACTTGCTCTAATGTGCACCATTCTAATATGTTATAATTCGAATTCCCGTTATATTTAAGTCAGTGCCATCATAACCTGGAACTAGTTGCGGTAGTCAGGTCATTCTGAAATTCTTACCGAGAATGAAAAGTATCATGAATGGAGGAGAGGTAGGCAGTCACCGTTAAACCCTCGCAGCAGGATGCGTCTTTCGCCCGTAAGCTAAATGGACTGCATTTCACTCAGAATTTCTTGACCACGTTGCCACATGTTCGTGCCCAATACTCGACGTAACTTATAAAACTTGAAAGTCCTCGACTTTAAAGCTCCAGAGAAGGTATTGAATTTTGTATCAAATTCGATGCCGCAAGCTGGGATGGTGAAAATTTTTAAGTATTTTTAAACAGCGTAAGGTTTATTAGCCAAGACCCAATTTGTTACATGCGTAACCGAACTTCATGAACTATTCATAGACGCAGCACGGAACGAAGTCAGAATAATCGTCGAATGTCGATGGAGCACAATTGGCTTTTTGTGCGCGCTTAGATTCGGCGGGTATATCATTTCATTAGCCCATTAAACAATTACGGTTAAGCCCGGTACACTTAGGCTCGTGTCTACAACCAGCTGTGAATGCGTTCCTTGTAATTGAACTACGTTAGTTCGGTCTCTTTCTTGGTTTACCAAACACGTGGGTCCGATGTTCTTACCACAGAGATTGATAGATGAGTTCCCACTGATTCCGAACTACCACTTCACGTTTCCATCTAATTAACACGTTATTTATTACTCTCGCTTATGACTTACTTTATTCATCATCCGATCTCTTCCACCTGTTTTTAATCGGTTATTTCGCATTTCTCAAGGAGACGCGTAACTACGCAAAATACTAATTACCGAAGAAGTATTTTAATCGCCGCTTTCACAATCCGATCGTTAATGAAAGCTGGTACAACACAGCTAGATGTATGTTTGCAATAATCCTCATTATGAAATCATTACGGCGGTTGTGCTAAGCGGAAATGCGGCTTGGCCAGCGCGAAGTAACATAGAGAAATAAGTATATCGTTAGAACGCGAGACAATGTACCAAGTAAAGCGTGGTCGATGTACGAGGTGAATGCATTGTCGCTCGACCCTGATTGCTTCTGCTGCCACCGCTGCACCAGCAGAGATAGCTCAATTGTTGAACATCCAATGCTTACTAAAGTTCATTCACGGCAAGTCGTAAGCGTTGTTGTTTCCAAGATACTATAATAATTTAACTGGCATCGATCATTGATCAAGGTTCAAACCTCTAGAAATTATTCAAGTGCAAATCAAGACAATTTGTGCAACCATAAAAGTGCTGGTACTCATCGATCAGGGTTTAATAGAAGTTTCGATGAACGCCACTTCTTTGAAGTAATACAAGAAAGTAGAGAAGACGGGGTAATATGAAGTAAGAAACTAGGCATTACAATGGTCAAATCACTCTCTCGAACATCATTCCGCAAGATGATTCGCGAGGTGATGCGTCATCGGTTGTGATCGTCGTCATCGACATCGGTTCAAGTGGTGTTGACCCGCGTTTGTTCCCCTGCATCCATGCGACTCGTTACCAATTCGTGGGAACGCCATGTCTATCCTATACTAATTTTCATTAGGAAACCTAACCCGATGATCCCGTTCGCGGGAACGTCTGGTACAATAATTGATCGCTCTCAGCACGTGAAAAGAATTCAATACAAACGACTTTGATAAATCTAGCTTTTACTAAGAAAAGGAAAAATTTATCTAGTATTACTTGATACATGTACTTGTAATGTTAGTGAGCTTTAGTGGTGGAGTGAAAGGATATTTATGACATTCGAATCGTGTTCGCATGCGTGTAATTCTTGATCAAAAATACATTCATTTAATTGAACTGAGTTCTAAAGAGGAACAACTTCTATAGACGTTTAATTAACGAATAGTTCGAACGTTACTAATTCGACGTTGTTCCAGAAAAGATAGACTCAAGACGGTAACATACTGGATACGCTACTTACATAAGACGAAGTAAAGGGAACTTAAATAAATAAGTAGAATTAGCGATTATTATCTTTTCGTACACAAAGGATTATTGTCTTTCTCAAGACTCTCGTAATCAGAACGTTTCAGATTTGTGTAAAATCAGTTATATACGGTACACGTGCATGTTTTTGATGCGCGTCCCGATCATTTCATAGCTACCGCGAAATTGTAGCGTTCGATTCGAGTCTCGACTTCATGGTTGGCTGGTTACCGCTCCTCTATATCTTTCCTTCGCATACTAAAGAGAGAAAAGAGAGGAGAGACGTTGCGTCAAGAACGCGAGGGAACGCGTTCTTGCCTCTTCCGCAGGTTGCTACGGCTTTTTCACTCGATCGACACTCCGCCGAAGAATTCAATGAAGAGTCGAGCGCACGATGTTTGATCCTGCCATTTCCCTACCGTATTTGGTATCGCAACTGTATAAAGGCTCGACGCCGCTCGCATCCGACGATTTTCTAGGATGTCGTTCGATTAAACGATACGACGGCCAGTGGCCAGGAGGACAAAGAGCGATCGAATGATAATTCCCTGCATAACGCGGCTTATTTTGCCGGTATATCGTTGATACGATCGCAACCTCAATTAAAACGAGTTTAAATGCCAACGACGCGATGTATAGATGGAAATAAACTAATGTTTAACGTATTAAACACGCCGAACGAACGTAGTTACGGAGATTTTCAAATCTAGTCACGTATCACGTTGCGATTTGCTGCTCACACGATTCGTTCGAAATCGAGATTTAGTCGTTAATTAAAATCGTGTGCAATCGACGGCACGTGGATCGTTCAAAACGACAAAGACTAACGCCTCGAGAGATCACCTGGCTCCTTGTAAAATGGTATCCGCGATTTAACGAAACTTCCAAATGCGACGTGTTGTACCATTGGCCTCATTCTTGGTCGAGCACTCTGGGTGAACCGATCTTGTTAAGGCTTAATTAGCCGTTTAACGAGATATATTTAACTCACGGTGTGCATAGCCGACACATGACGAAAAGTGAAAGAATCTGAGGTCATTAAGTGGTCGATGGATTAATTACTATAGATTTTACGTGAAACCGAAAACGTTTACTACATAATCTGATTAGCTTTTTGATCGTGAAATAAACAGTTGCGAATTCGCAAGAAAGGCGAGAAGAATCTCTAGTTGCCTTTATTAAAGCAGAGTCTTCTCGTTTGCTTATCTGCAAGATAATAATCTGCTTGTGTTTACCTAGATAAGGGATCTTGTATTTTAGACACGATAAGAGTATTTCAGGTGAAATCTACAGGTGACGTATTGGATTGTACGTAGTCTTTGATGCATATTTAATACATATTGTTCTTCGTAAGGAGTAAGATCCAATACATGGGTGGATGGAAGCATAATATTTTATGCACTAAATGATACACGTTTGAATATGTATATGTTTGTGAATTAATGCTGCATAAAAATGAGTGATTCTGTTTTCTTAGAAAGCTCGTGTGATCAGATGACTGAGGTACTATTGCAATCCGCTGTAATACAACGCAGCATGGTTCATAAGGTGAAACGTTTGTAAAATTGTATTTGTTGTTTACTGCAGCCGTGATATGTCAATCAAATATTACTTGGTATTCGTGCAATCGTATCGATTTTGCTGTATGAAAAGCTCGCGTAATGTTTAGAGCCAACATTCTTAACTCGAAACGAACGTTAAATAAACAATTGACAAACCTCTTTCCTCGATGACGTCTGCCTTGTCGACGTACACCAGCATGAACAGCACGAGAACCCCGAGGATCTTGGCTGGTCCCATCTTTTATCCAGGGCCTTTCAATCCAGGAAGAATTCCTCGTACACCTTCACAATACCGGTCGACGCATATCCACCACACTGCCACCACACATTCGAAATAATATCGCACTGTATTTCACTCCGAAATATTCGATCACGCTGCCGCTTAATGATCCGTCGACGACGACAATAAACGCGGCAGTGATTTAACAAGTATCGCGTCAGGAACGGATTGTCATCGAATAGTAAGCACGCTCCTTTATCACGGGTGTCAGGTGGTTTCGAATTCCACCGACCAGGAATTTGTTTGTCCGTCAGTTCAACAAGAGACGATTCAAAGTCTACATCGTATCAAGGATACCCTCTTCTGCGAGTTCCTTCGCCTTGCCGAATGTAACAGGTGGAAGCTAAGAAACACCTCAAACCACCGATTGCGTACGTCTCGGAACGTTCGCGCGCGTCGCGCGGTTCCGTTTTCACCGTGATTTGTTTTGCAACAACGCCGGTTCCACACTGAAGGGAAAAATACGATTTCTCGTGGCACTACGATTTCACTGATTCGAACGCGTATTAATTCACTCGCGAAATCACTTCATATTTGACGAACTAGGTACATTGTCAGTCGATTGGTCCGGTAGGAAGCGATACCCGTACGCGAAAAGATTTGGGGTTAACGTGGAAAGGTGCTTGTACGACCACCTTCTCAGGCGTCTCTCGCTGGACAGCCTTACTCCCACGCTGGCCTAGTCAAGAATACGCGCGCCTTGTCAAAGACGAGTCGCGATTCCGTTCGAAGTCGCCAGGCGGCGTTCGCACTAGGGCTCAACGAACGCGTACGAGTACCGCCGACGATCCACGAAGAGATAAATGATTCCACAACAAATGTCCGCTTAGGTATAAACATTTAAACAGCCGATTTCAAAATACCTGATTGAAAATACAAAAATTCGGTCATTAAAGCTTTCGTAAATTATGATTATGCTCGTGAATTAAAAAATTTGTTTATATCACTGATCCACAGATATGATATGCTCACTAGTATAAAATGTAAAATCGGTAAATGAGAATTTGCTTGAAAACTGTTTAAAAACAACAGATTGTTGGTTAAGATTCAGACGTTTCGGGTCATTGTCCATCAAAACAGGTAGAACGTGTAGACATATACGGCCCTGTCGATTCCTTGAAGACAGTAGTAGCTTGATCGTCGCAAAAATCATCGACAGACTGGTTTCTCGTCGCCAAGCCACTGAGGCACGTACCTAGGGTACGTGTGTACATGTAACTGCATACCCCAGGGAGAACTAAGTACAGAAAAGTTGCGGTAAGCAATGGCGAAAAGAGAAATTGCGCCTACGACTATCTTTTATTGATCAATCTAAAATTTCATGCATTTCTCATTAATATAAGAAATAAGCATCCCACAATCCTTTGGACACATTCATATTTTGGCATTGTTAACTTAGTTTAAGTTTTTATAGTGTGGCCATCGTATTGCGATTTCAAATCGATCAGTTCGATATTTTACATTTGGCAGTATCGTAGTCAATCGTTGTTGAGGTATAATATATCACCGGGATGACAAAATTATATTCATTTTTACTGAATACATCTTCGACTTGCGCTGATATTATAACTTGAATAATTTGTGGACAGTGTATGTGACAATTAAGAATTGGGTGATTAAGGGGATAGACTTCGATAACGGCGCGATAATCAGAACGTCGATATTACCCACTAAATTGGCTAAAAATTCTGTCTTAACGCGCAAGTACGAGGTCTAGCCCATTAATGTCAAAGTTCAGTGCAATTACAAGAAACGAAGTGAACTCATATTTCGATGGACAATCAATGAAGGACATGTTCTTCGCACGACATCGGCGGGAAGAGAAAAACGAAGATTACAAATGGAAGAGCGTTTTTGTCAACCAGATATCTTCGAACCGGTAAGTACAAATAAAGTACCCTCATACTCGTCGTAGCAAGTTTTTACCGGTGTACGCGCTACATAATCGTACCTTGCTCTGGAGCCATGCCAGTATAAAAGTACGTATTGTCACTTTAATGTTCGTATGCAATGAGATTTTAAAGATGTGATGGTTGCACGTCAATGTAATGCCACATCATTGAGGCTCTATTACCTGATATTTGTTATTATTACAAATGTCCATGTCAAAATTTGGAAAAGGTTTACTGTCTCATTTAAAAATTATTTTATTTTTAATTTATCGTGTATACTTATGGAAATTAGCAAAACAGCATCACTTATTAATATAACAGCACTATTCATAGTGAATGCCTAATAGAAAATTCCTATGGGAATAACTCGATTAAGGATAGAGGGAGAGAATCGTATGAAATTTTCAGTCTGCTTTTCATATTCGTTTATTATAAATAACAAGATGTATATTCGGTGCGCACGTGTTATTTAATCTGTATTTATATATGTATTCAAGCTCCGTCTAATTATAAGTTTATTTTGTTTACTGTACTATACCTTGTCTTACTTTGAGTTGTCAATAATATATTTTTCCACTACAATTTATTCGATGGCGCGGCGCGAGGAATTTTGGAGACGAAATACTCCACTTAGCACCTCAAACCAAAAGATTGTTACCCTCCGACGGGTTTGTAATGACGTTTTGATACTGATTCTCGTGACTGATCGTGTGCAAATGAAATTCCTTTAAGCCCTTCGTAACCAACAGCGACATCAGTTCCGCAGTCCGCATCCCGAGCGTCACAGACGTTCAATCACCATTAGTATTTTCAATTCAAATACAAATGCGATATAACTTCTGAATTATCGATAATTCATTTTCTTTCTCCTTCTTCCATTGCCCTCAATAAATATAATTTGTAAATTAATTCGTACTAATGATATGCGTCTCGTGAACATCTTCAATGAAAGTTAAAAGTTTACGAGTAGACCTCGCTGAACAATTGTACGATGCAGTGGTATCACATTTATCCACGATATGTTCAATCAAATACAATTAACGAGCTAACGTTGTAGGATTTGAATACTCGGGCTGTATTTCGTTCTTCGATGTTTCTACATTCCAGTTCCAAGAGCAACGTGGAAACGAAGGGATTAACGTTAACGTGTGTCGCTGGTCCTTAGAAGCTACATTTACTCTTACAACGCTCGCATTTTTAGCAATGATTAATGCGTGCATTTCTTCCTCAATCCTATCAAAGAATCGAGTCTCAAGGTACTAATACTAAGCTGTCGTCTACAAATCTGTTTTCAATTCGCCGACCTAAATAACGCGTCATAGTTATACATCTATATATATATATATGTATATATATATATATTCGCTCTTTTTTTATAAACTCTCTTTTACATGAAACGACCAAACCTCTCGTCCTTCGATACGTCTTCTGTTTCGACTTTCATCATGTTTTCGCGTATCTCTCCCCAGTTTTCGAATTTCCGAGTAAAATACCGTCCCCGTATTTTTTTCCTGTTCCTCAAGTAATCCTCTCGACATGCACAGTACACGCCATTAATGGTCGTAAGTGCCGTACTATATTGCCATAATTTTACCAAGGTATACAAAATTTTAAAGAAAGTTTTAAAAAAAATTTGTACCTGTTGTAATTTTGTACGTACGCAGAGATTTTATACAACTTATCAAAAAGACTGGTCGAAAGATCGGACATAAATTTCATTCGTTTGAGAATACATACAAAGATATGTAAGAAATTCCGAGCGTCCGTTGCTCCAGGGTGAGTTAAGTGAAATTTTCGGTGGCGATTATTACCATAAATGGTAGCGTATTGCAGGTTCGTTCTAACAGGACTCGCGAAACTTGGGGAAATCCGGGACGTATGGGAGCCGTAATAGAAAACTAAAGGCATTGAACTTCCGAAAAGCTACGTACGACATCATGTAGCAGGCACGTCTTATCATGTTACGCTAAAGGCTTCAAAAAAGCCTGGTAGAACCGTACTATGGTGCCTAACCAGGTACTCCTCTTTTTTTGTTTTTTCCCCCGTTCTTTATTTCTTTCTTAACGACTATCTACTTACGTATCCTCGTTCCTACGTAACTCACGCGGACGCATGCTTTCACACATTCGTCCCCATTTTTTCTCTGTCCCTCTTACATTCACGCATGTATCTCTTCGTCTAATTATGTATCTCTAAACGCCTCGAACTAAGGATAGGGTGCGAACGGTGCGCGAGCGCAAACGAATGAACGAACGTCCCTTCCGTTCACTGGGCAAGGGACGTTTTTCTTTTATTATTTCACGGGATTCGTTTGTTCGAGTACGTTTAACGCGCGCGAATGTCTTCGAACGAGTTCCCTACATTATAATACGAAGCACATATCACACGTGCAGGCCTACGAGAATTTTCTTATCGAGAGAACACGGACGACCGCTCGTTGCGGCCGGTTGCTTTTAGGCTTCTCTTTTCTCTTTCATTCCACCATTTTGAAAGTGTCCATGGATAATGAACAAGCGAAGTCACCGAAGATACTTAAATGCGTTTTACCGGCTCCAATACCTACCTTTCTTCCTACCTCGTCTTTCATCTTCTCTAGACATTCTCTAGTAATCGTGATCTTAGCATATCCGATTCTGTTCGTAGCCGTATCGATCGAGCATCGATTTATGATGTATCGCGAGTAACAAGGTCGGTACACTGAATTTGATAAGAATGCGCACAAGCGATTACGAGACTCGACGATTTTTACTCGCGATACAAGAAAACTCGTAGTAGGTGCGGCCGAGCGGATTTAAAGTTAACACAAGACATATCACGCCTTTTTGTTATCCGTCGTTGATCTACACGAATGATCACGAATAAATCTGTTGAAATGTGCGCGATGCTTTTTCCACGAATTTGACTTATTTAATCCTGCACCTACTAGTTGTTTTTCGCCACTCCTTATGAACACGTAAAGCAATAGTGCGCGCTTCATCTATGAAGCGTTGCTACCATACACGTCCGTCTTTTATGCGACGACATTTCTCCCGGACATATTTTACCTTAGTTTAGAATCATCGATCGAACTGTTTCGATCATCATCGTGATCACATCGTAATTAACGATTCGTATATGTATACTCAAAAACAGATTTAAGTATTTAACGCCTGTTTCGATGAATATCCTAATCTTTTTCTTTTCTTTTAACCTGGTATTCTCTGTAAAAGTGGCGGTCAAAATTATGATCTTTCGTTGTTCGTGACGTTGTACGATAATCGTATTTGCGAATTTGAAATACAATTTATAATCGCACGTAATAAAACGATCGTCGGTTAACGGTGGTACAAATATTTCGTCGAAGTTTAAAACAAACAACACATTGTTCCATTGAATAAAGATCTTTGTATATAATAGCAGAGTAAAAATCGTTGAGTTGTTCGTAAAAGTTGTATTCAATTTTAAAACCCGCGTTTCAATTTCGAATTGTAGTGAACGTTTAAAAGTGAATGATAATAATTAAATTGAACGTGCAGTATCGTCGATCCTAGCTCCAATCGATAAAACACTGTTTACATTTAAAACAAGTATTATCAACTACTTCTGAATATCTCGAGGATAAACTATAAAGTAAAGAAAACCGTGCAATATAGTTGCTAGGAAATATCTTTCACCGTAGAAAGGATATTATTTATATATATATATGTTAATAGTCACCATAAATAAAAAGTGGGGAACAAACTTAAAACAAACCAATTAAAAATATTCTTAAAACTACAAAGAATACATTAAATATTAATTTGTTAAACGAAAATTAGAAATTGGAGCCACGTCGATCGTCGCCCCAACGACACATTCGATGGAATCGATGTCTGACTCCATGCGTGTGTTGCCATTTCTTTCATTTATCTCTTCGTTTCTTTTCGAATTCTTTTCGTGCATTATCGTCCGAGAACAACCAGTGGGTAATTGTGATATTTGATAAGAACGATTTAACAAACGACCGCTTCCGATATGGGATTCTCTGTGATGTGTATGGTAGCGGTGGGCCAGTCGATTTTCTTACTGCAAACATGGTTGAGTCCCTCGAGGGAAGCCAGTCTGTAGTCAGCCATTTTCAACGGTGATAGCGGTGCCACTGTAAAGAGAAATAAACGAAAATGCCAGGTCAGAGTAATCGGATCGCTGAATTAGGTTCTTCAACTTCGTGTTGAGATTGTTAACACGAAAATATCCACATGTATGTTCGGACCATTTAAAGAAAGAGAACTCATTGTATTTATAATGGATAGAAGAAATCGGAATGTGTTATATGTGAACATATTATAGAAACTTAGGAGAAACAGATGCTTGTAGCTCGATCATTGAGTAAAGAGATAAATAATATATAGAAACGAATATAGACGGAAAGGCATGCATGCAAAACGAAAAAACAGATTAAGTATAATCGAGCGTGTGTTACAGTGATATTGTTTCATGTGCGAGGCATGTGAATTGGCGCAATTTATTGTTCGCTATTCTACAGCCCAGTATGTGCGGAGTCTTTCTTTCGCTACTCTTTAATTTTCGATAAAGTAACAATCTGTTAATGTCCCATCAAGAGTAAATGCTGCTACAAGAAAACAGATTAGGTACTTTTGCATTTCAAAATAGTCTATGTACGCTTTCGTCACAAAAATCAGTGTCTACGAGGAGTTAACTGAAAAAGGTCTTTACAAGAGATTCCTGATATGTCGTCAATTGATTAGCTATCTCATACCAACTACCGATAAGAACAAAGATAATGAGGGGGAACTCAATCGGTAACACTTTACCATGATCTTGTGATTCCTATTTAATGAATTCTCATCGCAGTGAAGATATCAAAAAATTCATTAAACAAACGTATGAATATGCAATGTAGTCTTCAACAGATTCTCTCGCTGCCTGAAGACGTATTGATCGTTCATAAAAATTTTGTATTAGCAGTATAAAATTTTCATGTGCAGACATTTGTTTGTATTTAATCGAAATCAAAATCACAGCGAGAGAGAGAGAGAGAAAGAGAGAGACAGAAATGGCAATTCTCATATCTAAAAAAATAATGAAATGCACGATAGTTTAGTAAGTCCGAAGATATAGACCTACAACGTTCGTTGCACCGTAATCACGTGTCGTTATAAAAGGGAACGGTATTAGCCTTTTGATAATCCTTTGTAGAGAAATAGAAAGGCGGACAGAATTAAGAGAAAATATGCCCGATGATGTCCAAGACACATGTTAGTCGTGAGATACATCGACGACGGTTAATACCTCCCGATAAAAGTTTGAATTCCGACTTACTTAACACATAGACGTGGCCTAATTGACCAACTGCGCGCTTGACTCCTTGCGGCCTTCAATTCCTAATTACAATTACCTTCGGGTATTGTCGGCGTCACGGGCTTCCGCGGGGATCTCACCACTAAAACGCATAAAAAAATAAATTCTTTTTAAGAACGCTCAAAAGAACATAACAAAGATCGTGTGACGCAGCTTAGCTGTAGCGAATGTTCTTTTGACTGGACTTTTTTTTTCTTATTTTTTTTTTTCATCAGAACATCATTCTTGGGTGCGATGCATCGCTAGGCCGATTCTTGTGTACCAAGTACATTTAAATTGAAACGAAAGAAAAAATTAAGCAACAATTCGGTCGTGATCGTCGTCCATGTTCATTTTCTTTCGTGCAACGAAATGGAAACTCATTTGTCACTCGAATGAAATGGACGTGAGTCGTGAAACGTTTTCGCTGTTCACATAGACTTAAACATCTCTACGCGACTGTCAGCGAGTCGTTCGATTCAGCGAAAACGTAAACTCGTCTAACGTTTACGAGTGATACATTTTAAAACAAGAGATTGTTTATCGTAATTCGTAATCTCTATCTAAACTACTTAGAAAACGGTAGCGTGAACCTTAGCACTGGCAATAACAGAGAAAGCAAACAAAATAGCCAAAAAGCCGACACTACTTAACTGACTACTTCAGTTGAGCACTAAGTTATTGATATATACGTACCACTCGATCGATCCGAGACGCGTGGGAAATAAAGGCGCAAGTCGGTGAACATGTAACTTTTTTCTCATTTGCCTTTGATAATCTTTTTTTTTTTTTGGTTTTAAACAAAAAAGCTCTCAAATAAATGACAGATGGTGGTGAGACTAAAAGTGATGAATTCAACGTAATCCTTTTTCAAACCTCTTTTTATTTATTAACTCGAGCCAGTGGCTTTCCAACGAAAGGAAGTAGGTACATGTTCGAAGACGTTGTTAAATCTTGATGTAATAAGGATGCGAGTGAGTTTCTCAAGCTTCGAATCATACGACTTATTTTTCAATATATACTTCAAATGGGGGAAAAAGTAGCCGAATTTTCCGAAAATATTTGGAGCTGTCGCACGTGATCCTTAATACATTAAAGATTGACAACATTCCTCACCATTCGTACAACATGAAAATTCTATTAAAGTATAACAGAGACGATCGTAACAACAACAATTAATTAACGATAATCATCACGATAGGATCAATTAATTAAATAGAATAGATCTTGGGCGTACTTGGTTAATCGTTCGCAGATATCTACCACATAAAGTAATTAAATAAATTGAATGGGTAGTTTTTATGCGAGTCGAGTTAGATAGCAACAGAGACTGGTAATAATCGGAAGTAAGCGGAGAGGCGTGTTTTAAATATCGACGAAGGTAAGTAAAGTAGTCGCTATAAATACATCACGTTCGTTCTTCTTGTCTTATTCTGTTCGTATTTACTGGGCGTCAGTGGTCAAGCGTTGTGTTACGTGCTATCGTGTTTCTGTGATCAAGAAGCCAAAACGAATAACAAAATTCAATTAGTCGCGGAACTAGTGTCAATTGTTTAGCGGGGCGGTACTATGTTTCGTATTTGCCCGTCATGTATTTTCAAGCGTTGAGAATATATGTATTTAGGGGAGTGTAAAAAATAAATAATAATTGACGAACGTCGAATTAGTTCGAATACAAGTGCGCGACAGGTAACGCCTACATTAAAGAGAATTATCTGCAGTAAGATACGAGTAATGTGTCTCTATTCAAAGGATGGGGAGCGAAAACAACCTCGTTGTAGGTGAATGCAGCTTAAAACCGACTTTCGCACGAGTGAGTTACAGGGCAAAGTAGTGTAACTTCATTATTGGATCACATACCAACAGGTTTCGAAAAATGACACGGTAGAAAAGTAAGTTCGATCAGTTTAAAGCCGCGAAGTAATTCCGTAGATAACATTGGCAACGATTCAGGTATATGTATCATGTATTTATATAGGCCAAAAGTACCGATACTCGTCAAGTATTGCAATCGATTGAACAAACTTAAGCCTACGGATATTCACGATCTTACGACTCTTGCGTTTTTTACTTCTTCGTATCGGCACGTAACGCAGCACGTGAACGACTTTCTGAAGTCATTAACACCTGATCTATTGTTTTAAACGAATAATCAGTTCCGCTGTTCATGAATAGACCAATTGTATACACACTAACAAGGATTATTGCGGATCTTACTGCCAGTATATGTTTGAACGGCACTACCGACTTTGATCGTTAAGCTTGTCGAATCGTCACGTGCTTCTTTACGAAACGATATGGCGCGAGCGAGATTCGTTTATATCAATGAAGATCGATGAGAATAAACGTTTGACAATCTGATAGTAATTAATGTCTAAAGCGTAGTTCGCCAGGGCGCTCACTTACCATATCCTTCGCCCTGAAGAAATAGTCGGAAGGCCTCGCTTACTTTGCCTGGTTGTTCCTCTAGTACCATTCCGCAATCAGATATCTGTAAATTAAACGAATCGTATTAGGGCACTCTATCTAGAAGTTAATAACACCTAACTACTGTTATTAGTACTGATGTTGCAATTCAACAGCTGATGTTGTAATTCTTTCTGTATTGCAATATCGAAAAGAAAAGAAGTCTACGTTATCTTAACGACTTACGTTCTAACGTTTCACTAAATATATCTTCAATTTAAAAACAGCTTACTTATAAATAGACCAGATTTTTATGCGAAGTAAAATATTTATGATGCTAATTTAAAAAGTGT